GTTGCGAAAACAAGGTCAAACAACCTCTAGAGCCTCATTCGAGTTGTGCCGAAAGCGGCGCGTCAACCTCACCAATCCCACTTGGCTGTACCAACAATGCACAGTAGTTCTTTTAAAGCAAATCTGTTATAAACGTGTATTTATGCGCTGGCAATAAAATCGCAAGTCAGGCGAAAAGTGAAGAAGAAATTGAAAAGTAACTTCAGGGTATGCGTGTCTCGACAACTGTGCGGAAGGCGGGCGCGGTGAAAGAGCGGTCTCCAGGGGATACCGGCTCTCGAGTGTGTACTTGCCTGCCGTCGATATGGAATGGGAGTCGGGCCGAGGTGGAGACGATGCAAAAAAGCGTCACCTCCCAGTCCGGTCAAAAGGTACGAGGGTCGACTGAAGTTGTTGGTGCAGGTTGCTAATCCGAGGCCGGTCGGCTGGTTGCCCGGTGCAGGCTAACTCTCGTCTGGTGGTGTCGCAACGGCAATAGACCGTTCCTCGGCCACAATGCCCTCCTGCTTGAGCCGCTTCAGGATTGGCCTGTAGATGTCCGGCATTAGCGGCAGAACAACGCCCTTTGTTTGTATCTCACCTGAAAGATAGGAAATTCAACGTAAACACATAAGACTAGCCGATGACAATGGTTTGCTAACAACTTCAGAGGAGGATTGCCTTACAGTTGGCATCGCGATTGAGCCCGGCTTCATCGGAGCAAAAGGACCTATTCTCTCATCCACATTTACGGTACCTCAAGCTCATTCACCCACCTTTTAAAACGTAATGGATGTTGTGAAAGCAAGGCCTTGACGGCTGTTGGGGAATAGTTCTGCAGGAGCGTGCAATAGCAGCCTCTACACACGTCCCCTCGAGCAAGACTTCATACAAGACTCAAACAGAAAAGTCAAGCTGGTTGCCGTCCCTTGCCTGCCTTAGGGAGAAAAGCCGGTTTTAGAAGAATCCCTTAATGGACATTTAATTTTGTTTGGAGAAGGGACTCGTAAGTTCGCCTCATCGGAAGTCGCATGGTGATTGCCTTGGAAATGTGGTTGCAGATTTCTGGCCTGCAACCCCGACGAGTGCTTGCTGACATCTCGTCCGTCATGTGATCGGGATGATTAAGCAAAACACTTTGTGAGACTTTTCATGATTTGCTTGGATCTGTGCTTTTCCTACCTGCTGCTGGATATTGAAGGAGCTGTGGATGGAGCGTGAAACGGATGCATTTACAACCGAATCACTTTTTTCATCCTGCAATGTCACTCCAATAAAGCGTTGTTCAGGCAAGTTGATTGTGTTCTGTATTTGAAAGTGTTCCACGCGTAGAATTAATCCCAAATTGTGTTGTCTGGCTTAACCGAATACTCCTAGTAGAACTAGCAAGTCCTGAAAAAATGTCACGAATTAGGTATTTTTAGAGTTCAAGCCAATACCATAAAATTACATTCTTTGATTAGGAGGAAAACCAGACTACGGCAATCACTGTTGAAAGCTGTCAGTTAAGATGACTTCTTTAAGTTGGACACAATAGCAGACAAGTGATACCACAATTTTTTAACAGGTTGAGATAAACGATAATAACGAACTTGAGGATTTGGCTGTGGGAATTAAGATGGTGAGTTTGCTGGGGACATTTAAGGTAGATTGAAAGGGGCGGAGTGCCGTAGCAGATAAACAGCTGTGGACATTAGCACAGATAAGGTTCTTTGTAATGGTTTAAACATTGCGCTTCCAAACAGTGAGGATAGCAAGGAAGGAATATCGGTATAAGTCATCCGTTTTACTGACCGTTTGTCTGAAGAGACTGGGAGTGATATCGAGTTGCAGGTTGTCCCTTTAATTGATGGTCATGTAGAGGCATCGCAGAGGAATAATGCAGTAAACGGCATGTTTAAAAAGCGAAGAGACCAGGAACATTTAGCGCTAAGGTCAGATGGGGGACGAGCAGTGGTGGTCTTGGATAGGGTTGGTTGTGTAGAGAGGGGATGCAGGCGCTAGATGATAAAGTAACGTACATGATTATCAATTAGGGCCCCACAGAAAGCCTGAAGTCTAGACCCAGTGGTTGCCTGCAGCAGTCTGGAACAAAGGGGCAATCAGGGAAGTGGAAAGTGGGCACACTTCCTCAACGAGACAACAGACCTCCGATTGCTTATGATCTCCCCGAGAAACATAAAGAAGGCGTCCCACTCAGAATTACTGATAATCATAAGAGTAGTGTGATGCATAAGGCCTCGCGATATATTTGTCAGCAAATAAAGTAAATCTTCGTTGAACTCTTATGAATTCGTCCGGACAGTCGTTGAACAGAGGTTAGAAGGTAGAGAATTGGGTTGTTTGTTTTGACGTACACCAATCTTCCTGTGAGCGTAGCTACTCGGGCTCCATAATTGACTTTGCATCAAAACCAGGATATTCTGAGAAAAACGAATTTCGGCAAGGAGACAATAATGGAGCTGAAGAATTTTTTGGCTCAGATGTACACATTTTAGTGTTGGTTCGACTTCTTCTTTGCAAATTGGTCGGAGCGTTAGGGAGACCTTGTGGAGCTGCCTAGTCCCGTGCCCTCTGCTGTAGTATTCGCGACGTCCAGCATCGGACCATTGGTTTACCGCATTTCAAAACGTCTCGCCGGCATCATCGTCGGAATCGTTGGGTCAGGGTTACAACTTGTCAAAATGACAAGTGAAGGCTATCCTCATGACCAATTTTCTGTACAATGTTACATTCAATTTTTACTTTGAATAGTAAATTGTACGAATAAACACACGAGGCTTAGCACTTTTAGTTCCTAAATTGTGGGTTAGGTACATGGACGACTACATTTCACCTTCGGCAACATGGCAAAGAAAGTCTACTAAAATTCCTAGCGTTAACGAATATCAAGTTCATGATTGAACTAGAAAAGGATGATGGCCAACCTTTTCTAGATGTCCTAGTTACCAAAGAGGGAGACAAGCTCGGTAGAAATGTGAATAGGAAACGCGCAAATGTGTGGTTCCTTAAAGATTTCTTTTCAAAGCATGCTTGTGGGGTTAAAGTAGGAGTTGTGAAATACATGGTCTTTCAGATGTTAACCATCGGGAGCAGGAACTGAGGTGATTAAGACAAATGTTAGTTGAGAATGATTGCCCATTAGGATTAATTGCTAATTGTTTTACAACATTATCGAATTGGACGGAGGAAAGATGAACACCAGATAAACTGGTCTATATGAAGAAAAAGTGTGTCAAAGAATTAATTTTTTCGAATGGGGAGTCATGCCACAAGACTGGTCCAATGCCAAGCCTTGTTGTGAATACTTTCCTTGCGTATGGAAGTACATGGTGAAGATATTCCAAGGTCAATCTCACCAGAAGACGTCGGCTGATTCGCGTTGTACTGCGGTCGTTTGGCCTTATTGCCTCGTTCGAGTTGAATCAGTTCACGAGACATCCTCCAACGTTTCCGGCGAAGAGGGGCAGACATTTTATTCGTTATGCTCGTCAGGGATTGGAATAATTCTCGCGAAAGCCTCAAGTTAACACTAAGTGAATACAAGTGACCGGCTTTTTTTCATATGACATACACACTCATTGAGAGCAAAATTAAAGATATACGTAAAGGTTTGGTTATTTCACATATACTCGAATGTGTCTATGTGTGTAGGTATG